AAAGATCGTCATCTAATTCGGCGGATATGTGTTGCTCTTGGAAAGCGGTCTGGGAAGACTGGGTGGTAGCGCTGGTGGGAAAGACGAGGATATGTGTGCAGCTGACGTCTTGCGGGGTAGACAACAGGGAGTTGACAGATATCTGACTGAATCTTTCGTCGGGAGTAAACTGGTCCGGCATTAGCCGCAAAACCGAGTCTGGCTCCAAGCTCACCAAACAGGCGCTGAGGATACACGGCACCGAGCTCGGGTACATTATCGAACACTGATTGCAGATCTCCTTGAGATGTCTGGAAGCCTTGAGGAGATTCTTTCGACCCAGCAACCAGCTCCAACCCTTCAGTTCCCCATGTCCTATCCTTCCTAACCTGCCCACGACTAATCTCCATGGTCTCACGCTTTGCGACATGACCCCTACGATAAAGTTCATGAGTTTCTCCAGGCCGATTCTCCTGGCCGACGCTTTTCTTCTACTCCTGTTGGGTATATCAATGTTTATGGTGATGGTTTCAAAGATCTCTCCTCTCTCGTCGGTCGCTACCGCCAGCAGCCAATTCTGGTCTTCGGAAAGGCAATAACTCAGGTACAGAACGGAAGCTTGATCTTGGGTGCCCTTGCCAAACGCCTCTACGGCCTCGGCTTTCTCCCTCATAGGGGCCAAGATGTAGGGCGGAGTGTACAGTTTGTACGGCGCACGGTTCTTCTCCTAAAACAGGCGAATAAATTAATTTGATCTATGAAAATAAGTTGGACGGTACTAATGGCTGTTTAATAGAATTTTTAAAATGTGCGTGTGGTTACATACATCTTTGCTCTTGAGGAAGTGATCTGTCATGGCGGCAGTGCCGAATCCGGTGAGCGACTTGACGTTGTTGGAGTGTATCAGGAGCCGCCTACATTGTGAGAAGATGTTAAACGCTAGCGCACGCATGTGATCGCTGTGTCTCATCCTATCCCTCGCTTTATTCAATTCCACCACACTCTCCAAAGATATAATCTAGAAGAAACGAAAATGATTCCATACACTGCTTAAAAGCCTATTTTAAATTATTTTTTATAGTAATATAAATATATTAGGAGCAATTATTTGGAAATGGGTTTTGGGTCACAGTAATTAGACTCACCTGAACACTGACGTTGCTCCGGATATTTTCAGGGAGGGCCGCTATGACGGACTGGTAACACCTGAGGAGGGCCAGACACGATAACCTCTGTAGTTCCGGTTGGTCAGAGCCCAGCGTGAAAGGCTCCACCAAATAAACCACCACAGACGGCACTTCCCGCTCGTCTTCATCGAGGGAAGACTCGGATACGTTGCTAATGGGAGGGGTTTCTTTTGCTCCTTCACCGTCTAAAAATTTAATATATATTTAGTCACTCTGCATATAAGAATGTAGGCGCAGGTTTCATCCGCAATCTAGTTATATAGGGTTAGCCTGAAATAATGCATATTCTTTTAGTGACACACAAGTAGTACTAAAATAATGCTATTACTGCAAAATATTTTGTGAAAGGGTGGATTGAAAAAATTAAAGTTGAAAATTTGCGGTTCGACCCTGTGTAAAGTGATCCTTGACCTATAGCAATCTGCATAACATTAATCTAGGCAAGGATTAGCGTACCTGAACCATTATGCATTGCAAAAACGCCACACTCCAGACTCCAACAAGTCCGCGTAATCCGCGATCCTAAATTAGATCAACTTTATTCAGATTGACATAGGTCAAGAATTACTTTACACATTATCGCACTTCCATGTCTGCAATTTTTTGCAATAGTCAATAATAGTCAAATTGAATTTGACATCAAATCAGCGGCAGGAAATTCAAACCTCTTGGGAGTTTAGGGAAAAATCACAAATATGGGAATTTTCAAAAATTTTTAAGGAAAAAACCATTTCGAGACAAAATCCCTTTCCGGGATTATTCCCAAAAATTTTTTCCAAGAAGGAATATTCCTCTGGACCCATCTCTGTGTAATTTATCATTAATGAAGTTTTTTTGTTAAATTCCCTGGAGATTTCATTTCAACACAACCTTAAAAACTAAAGCTCCTGGGAGTTTTTATCGGGAGGAATGGGTTTTCCAAAACTCCCGGAGTAAACCCATCCCTATATTTTTTAAATAGTTCATGGGCATATTAGTAACTGTCAGTTGTTTTAATATTACCTGTATCACTTTTTGGTGTAGCGGGAGCCTTTTCAGAACTAGAACTCGACTGACTTCCGGAATTGTCCGGAGTGTTGGGCGGCGGCATAGGACTAGGCATAGGCTGATCGGAATTATCCTGAGGAGGATCCAGAAGGGTTTTATCCATGGGAACCTGCTGAAGGTGTGGTGCCAAGTGATGTTTACATACCTAAAACATAACAGGTAACAAATAACATCACCCATTTCTCTTTAGTACACACAAACTTACCTGCGCATACAACTTCAACATATCACTAGTGTCCCCCTCGCCTAACAAGGTGAACCATTCCTCTACAGGTTCGTTACCTATCTTCACTTTGGCCGTCTTCCCGACCCTCAATATTCCGTCTCGCAGCACCTTCGTGATGGGGCTATGCCTGCCCAATTTGCACATCTCGTAAGCCGTGGAGAGCTCTTTGAAGAAGGTTCTAACCCTGGGAAGGATGGCGTCGTTGTCGGGCGCCACAACGATATAAGCGACGTCTCGCGCATACGAGTACAGTTCCAGCAACAGGCTCTCCCAGTGCTGTAGGGCGTAAGGTGATAGGGAGAGCCAGTCCTTGTCGTGGCCCACAATCACAGATGGAATTGGCTGAGGCTCGCAGCGGTCGTCGGTACCTGCGGATAGAATGGAAGATTTTTATCATGACCAGGAAACTTTATTGAATAAAAGGTATTGATCGCAATTTTATAAATATTTTTATTGCCGATGGTTTTTGCGTATAGAAATGTACTTACCTCTTCCGGCCAGCCTGTGAAATTGTCTCCAAGTAAGTGGCCCTTTGACAGCGGAAGGTGCCTCCCACAATCTCGTTTGGCACTTTTTCTGGATAGCTTCTTGTAGCAGGGGCTGTAAATTCCTCATGACTCTCACGATATCCTGATTGCATTGCGGTCCCGATGCTCTCAAGAACGGCCACCGATGGACGGCTGCCGAGTGGGAGTTTTTCAAATGTTTACCCTCTTCCACCTGTAAATTAAAATAACAGATATGTATAATGAAGATTTCAACATTTTGTTATATATACAGGGTGTCTTATAAAAATGCAAGTGATACCTCAATAATCATTTGTCCCATATAAAAAATTATATTCACCTTGCACATTCCCATATTGTCCAGAAGGCTCTTGCTCTGGTCCAGAGCTATGCCAGTCACATCGTTACTGTCCGAATACTCCAGCACGTTGACGGTGTTTGTGTAAGGCCCGACATTGGTCCTGATGTATCTGGCTGCGCGACACAACGAGTTGGCGGTGCTAGGTATAAAAACGAGTTGCTCCCTGACCAGCTCGAGAAGGCTGTGAGGAAAGATGTCGATCTGATCTCTGTCTACGTTCGGGTCTAATTTTACGGAATTGGTCGCCATGAGGAATGATAATAGGGAAGGTTTCTTCTTTTCCCCGGGATCATCGGCAATACCTGAAAAATATTTTCCCAACCGTTGTAAATTTGACTAATGGGATTTTTCAGCTGCCAAAAAGCAATTTACAATAATTTCAAGCGTTCTTCATAATTATTCTTTATGCAAAATAGAAGTATAAATGATTCTTGTTTTTTTATATTGTTTTCAAAAAATGTCAATTCAAAAGTTAAATAATTCCGGTTTAAATAACCTCTTTAGTCCAATTGTCAAGCCTACTGGATATTTTTAAAATAATTTTAATTTTTAAGTTTCATTTCAGTTAAGTCCTTTTTGTCCAAAATGCTGGACCTGTCATATTTTTTGTTCTATAATATTAAAAGTATTTTTTCAGTATTTGTTGTCTTATTTAGGATGTAATTAACATATATTTTATCATAGATATGCCGAAAAACTACTAAAAATAAGTATTGGAACTAAATAGAGGTATAGTAACACCAGCAACAAACAAAAATATATCTATACTTCATTTTTTTTGCAGGAGGAGTAGATCGTATTTAGCGCCACATTTTTAAGGTTACTGATTGGTTGATTCACAGCCTGATTTACACCAATGTTTGCAGGAAACATTTGGTCGCAGGATTTGTCAATTAAACTTTTTGACATTTGACTTATTTGCAAATGTAAATACAGAATCAATTTAGAATTTCTTCAATGTTTAAAGTGTTTTAAAAGTTTATATCAATATTATTCAATCAGCAAACGAACAAACGATTGTTTGACGTGTACAGAGAAATTAAAAATTCCTGCTGACAATAAATTGCATAGATTAATAGAAATTGTATCTGTGGTAAATTGTTATCGTTTAAACCGTTCACTCCTCCTGCAATAAAAATGAAGTATAGTTTGATATTCTCCCTCTAGCTTTAGTTCGAATTGCTGCAATTTAAAATCAGTTCCCTATACTTTAAAATATTCCAGACCAAGCTTCCATGACACAAATTCTTATGAATCCATAAAACAACTTAAAATAGAAAGGTGAAAATAAAAGGAAATGTAGAAAACGTTTTAAGCCCGACAGACTTTTGTTTTCTGAGGTAAAATCAAAAGTTTTTGTCTACTTAAAAAAAAATACAAATTAACAATAACTTCATTTGACTTTTTACTTTCTATTTTTTATAAGTGAACGAAACACCTTTCTGAAATTTAAACACTTCAGTGAATATTTTTAAAAAAAAAATGGTCTGGCTGACAATTTGTGAACTTTTGTTACACCTGACAGTCTTTTTTTGTTAATTTACGCTACGAAAAATACCTGACAAAACGAGTTTCTAATTTTTGCATAAAAAAACCCCGTATAGGATTTGTATGAAATTTATTTTAGAGAGGGTTTCAGAGGGTGACAAATAAGAATATAACATTGTCTTTATCTAGGAGAATTAAAAATGCTTTGACGCAGCCGGACCGTGAACCTGGGACCTTTGGCTTTCGGGGCCAATGCTCTTTCAACGGAGCTACCGCGTGTTCACACCTCAATTCTCCTATTCGGGGTACCGTTCTTTACATAATTTACTACAACTCGGCCATACCTGACAACACAGCCATCCTCGGCTGCCGGCCATTATCTGACACTATGGTGGACATAATTCATAAACATAAGGTGAACTGTGCTGTCAAGCGGATTCACCATCCCACTTCTGAGGCTGTAGGAAAATTAAAAAGGCTTTAATGCATCCCGAGCTTGAACTTTGGCTTTCCGGGACAATGCTCTTTCAAGTGAGCTACCGCACATTCACACCTCCTATTCAGGGTACCGTTCTTTACATAAATTACTACATTTAGATATTCATATCGCAATAAATGTATTAAAAAAATTTGTCATCTTCTAACCCCTTCAAACTCAAAACAAATTTCATCCAAATCCTATACGGGTTTTTTTTTATACAAAAATTAGAAAGTCGTTTTGTCAGGTAATATTGCTACGAAATATTCTTATTTGTCACCCTCTAAAACCCCCCTAAATTTTTTTTATCCAAAACCGAAACAGCGCTTTTCAGAAAATATGAATTTTATTTTTAAAATTATTATGAATATTTGTGATCAACAATGCAGTTTCTATCTACTGAGGCAAAAAAGAAAAAGGGCTCACATATTGAAAAAAAATCGTATTTTCTAAAAAACCTTATGCACTAGTACGTAAAGAAAAAAATATTTTCTGGCCGCTCTTTTGAAGTTCAATAGTAGAAAAAATATTGTATGAAACACTTGTGTAAAGTCCCTTTTTTGACTCATGTGGTAGTCGCACTTGCCTACAAAATTCACATTCGTCAAAAAGTGTCTACACACCTGTTGCATAAATAACAATTTTAAACTTTATCAACAAAAACAAATTGATTAGAAGATAAATTAAGTTTAAATTATTTTTGTGAAACATTCAAACATACCGGTAATCTCCATCTCGTCCTCGTAAAACAACCCGCTGCCGTACGCCAGTCTCCTATTCACAACCGCTGAAAAAACCGCAGCTACACCTGGTCAGATCCTCGTCGTTGCCGTGATGCTCATCGTTAATCATACCGCCGTAGGGCGGCGGTTGCCCCATATTGCTGCCCGGGTACGGACTACTCGGCTGGGCACTCGCGTGTTGCCTATCACTCGTCGAATTCAACAGGTAAATACCGGCGTCCGCCCCCTGATGTTACCCACCACTTTACCGCCTGCGTTACAAACACACAAAGTACAACTGTCGAAATTGTGATCGCGGAAGATATTGAAAGCCGTATCGGTGAGCAGGATGTTCAGTACCAAACTGGACGCTTCCGGAGTCCTTTGTACGATGGGCGTCGGCACTGGCTCCACGGAATTGAGATTTTTGTTAAGGTAGGAACTGGCGGTGGAGGTCGCTGGGCTCGGCAGCTCGTAGGGCGGCGGCGGGGGCCTGAACCCGTTGTGTAACGGGCTGGGAGGGAATATGTTCGTGTTCTGGTGGACGTTGTTCGGTATAGAATTGGACATGGGGTTCTGGTTGGCGGTGGAGACGGTGCTGATGGGCTGGATGGGCTGCTTCTCGGCGTGCTGTATCCACGAAGGCTTGTAGGTGCAGTTGGGCGGTACGGTGACCGGCGGGAGGCTCTGGCTCGGTAGGTTGGTGAGCGGGGCGTACTTGCTACTTCCCACCATCTTGCAGATGATCGGCGGTTTGAAGATGAAGCTCCAGTCCTCTAAAATAGACAAAAATAACATGAAATTTTGCAGGTTCCAAGCCGATTATCCTACTTAAAAATTCACATTTTTGTCATAAAATACATTAAACTATCTCATTTATTATTATGATTAGATATGGAACGGTAAATTTATTTTCCGTAATCATCGATTCATACTGGGTAAATCTTTAAAGTGGAACATATTTTTAGGGGTAATAGTACTAGTCATCAAAAATATAAGTCCTAAATAACCGTTTTTTATATTGCCAAAAATGCCTGAGTTATGATTTTTTTAAATTTGTGGTTTTACGATGGGCGCCCCTGGGCTAGAAGTTTGACACCCACCCATTGTTTAGGAATCACAGAATCCACATGCGGTTGTCCTAATAAAACGTTCCAGTGGCGTATTCAAATTAAAAAAAAGTGAGATTAAAAAACAAATAGTTTTTTTTTCATAACTCAATTCAACCCTCTCCAGAGTCAGGATTCTGCACTATTTTATTTCAAGTAAATTATTAGCTGTTCCAACCAAGACATAACTTGATTAGGAATATGTCAATTTTACAGACAAACGCATTAAGTAAGAAATCTGTTTGTGATTCAAGGTCGAAACAAGCCTATTATTTCTTGCACTTAAAATTAATAAGTGGCAACTATGCGAGATACTGTCGAATATGTTATATATCCCTATCCTTCATCATCTCTTATATTCGTCTAACTTTAACGGTTTACATCAGATTTTTTGTTCGTTTGAGTTTGGCAATTCAAGTCAACGTATCGATAAAACGATGCAGTGTTCAATGCTAGGATTTGTGTTTTTTTTGCGCAACTTTTTCCTAATTCAACCTCTTTTGTTTATAATTTATATAGTTTATTTGAAGAAACCCGATCTGTTGACTCACCTATATTCTCTTCCTGCGGACTTCCCATATTCGGATAGATATCCTGTTTCACCCTTATCATCCCCCCCAAATCCGCATAGTCAGGCGGCGGTAGATCTAATTGACCGCACGGCGAAGCTATGGGATTGTGTTCCAAGCTGGGTGGTGTCGGAAACATCTTACTCAATTCTTCCGGCCTTAAGATACCTATAGTTGGGCACCCATGTCCCGATAATCGTTTGTTGTCTTCGTGGTGGGTGATGGTGGTGGAACCCGGTGGCGTTTGAACCTGCATCTAAAAGAATTAAAAAAAAATGTAAGAACAAATATTCAGCGCATAATTATATCAATTGAAAAGTCGACTTACGGCCTCATCACTGCTCGTATAATCGGAATTGTCAAAAATTTGGTCGAGATCCTTGTACGAGGGCTGCAATCCCTCGCTCGTGAACAAATTGTCGGTCGTGATCTTTTTACTTCCTTGTTCTCCTCTTTCACTCCGGGCTGACCCCGTTTGAAACCGTCCATATTGCAATTTGACCCGCCTCCGTCTTCTTCGAATTCGTAAGGATCACCCGGCCTTTTGACCCCGTGGGAGTGCGGACTTGTGGTGGCGGTCGCATCGGTTTCCATCTAAAAAAAAATACAAAAGCAAAATCATACTGTGAATATACTATTAGGAACTGCAATGGATGAAAAGATAAATCATTTTTAATGATTTTTATAAACAATCCACTTGAAATCCATTAAAATTTTAATAAACCCACTTACATTCTGACCCGGTTCCTGTTTGACCTCCTGCTTAACAGCCACCAGAGGATTCTTGTTGTTCGCCGGCTCGCAGTTCTGACTCGCCACGCAATTCTTCTCATAAACCGAATAAATATCCGCCTTCCCTAACCTATTCAACCAGTGGTTTTCCTTCCCGTCCGGTTTGAACTTCTTAACGGGATGATTCAACCACGCATCCAAAGTAGAATAATCGTACAGCATCTCCAGCGTTTGTTCTTCCTCGCCCAGGGCCACCTCGTATTCTTTACTCGTCAATATAGGCCTTTTTAGCACAGGTAAGCTGGGCGCCGATACCTGCGGTTCTCCCCTCGTCTCCGTAGGTCCGCTAGGGCTGTTAGTCGGACTCTCAATGCTCTTCGGCGGTTGGTCTGGCGTGTGGGTCTTTTCCACTGGAGACGGATTGGTCGTAGGAGGGTGGGGGAGACAAGGTAGGCATGGTCTGGTCTCCAGGAGGGACAGACGCAGGTTGCGAATGAGGGTTTGGTAGTGGGGACGGCGCCACCGATGGAGGAGAGCCGACGGAAGGTATTGCCATGGATTCTTGAGTACGGGGTACGATGGAGGGCCCCCTTGAGGAGTGTAAGAGCCGGAGCACCTGAAAATGGACAGATCGGGTGTCAAATGGATATTTGTAACATTTGTCAACCTAGATGAAATATGAAAGGGGTGTTACAATAAAATTACTGTCTTTCTTATAAGTAGAAACAAAAAACTGTTTATAAAATTGTAGATTTTCATGTTACTAATAAGAAATTAAACGTAACCCTTGGTGGACAACTTGACAAGAGTTAAAATCGAAAAAATTAAAAGCTGCTAACAAATTCGTATAGCAAAACTGTATCCACTGGTAGTGATAAAAAATGGTTACAGATTTAGATTACTAGAAACATGAAATTCCACAATGCAACTTGAAATATCCTGCATAAAATTCCGCTTTTTCTTACGAATGTTTTTTTAAACTTTCCAATGCAGTTTTCGTTTAATAAATTCTACATTACTCCTTATGATGAACCCAATATTACATTATTTCCAAAGAACTAGGAATAGGTGGCCATCGTCCTGCATAAGACTTGAGGCATGTTAAAAAGACATGTTAGATATTAACGTTACTCGTGAAACCATTACCCAAAAATTGGTTTTAATGTGTCAGTAGTGATATAAATGTTCATTAGTAAAAATGGTTACATTCGGTTAAAATTATCTTAATAATTAGGTATGCGGCAGAGATTTTTGTCAGCCCGTCACCCCTCTTTTTATATTTCAGGCAATTTTTAAGCAGCATAACAGTTTTTATGCATAAGCAACCAAATTTCACTTTGTTATTTTTATAGACAGCACATTTATTGACATTGACATATAATCAACTTAAAATTTGCCCAAACTATAATAATGAAGCGAGTGACCAACCTTTCAGATGTCAGCGGTATGGGTGAGCGCCTGTGGAAGGGCACGCGACCCCCGCCCCACCTTTCCGGGCCGGGCAGAGGCACCACTGCTCGTCGCCCACTTATTAACGCCGGCCGGAGTGCCCAAGAACTTTCTACACCTGAAATTTTGGTAAAAGGTTCAGTGTCGAGAGCTCCCTCGCTTTTTCCTTTTTCGTCTTTCACGATTCATCGTAAAAGCAGAAAAAAGTGCACCAAAGTGA